TTTCCTTTCCTTTCCTTTCCTTTCCTTTCCTTTCCTTTCCTTTCCTTTCCTCTCCTTTCTTTTCCTTTCCTTTTTTAAGTTTATTTATTTTGAGAGAGAAAGACAGAGGCAGAGAGACAGCGAGAGAGAGAATCCCAAGCAGGCTCTACACCATCAGTGCAGTCTGATGTGGGGCTCAAATCCATGAACCGTGAGATCATGACCTAAGCCAAAATCAAGAACCGGAAACTTGGGGCGCTTGGGTGACTCAGTTGGTTAAGTGTCCAGCTTCGGCTCAGGTCATGATCTTGCAGTTCATGAGTTGGAGTCCCACGTCGGGCTCTGTGCTGACAGCTCAGAGCCTGGAGTCTTCTTCAGAGTCTGTCTGTCTGTCTCTCTCTCTGCCCCTCTCTACTCTTTTCTGCCTCTCCCCTACTCTTTCTATCTAAAATAAATTAAAAAATTTTTTAAATTAAAAAAAAAAAGGAGTCAGACGCTCAACCTACTGAGCCACCCAGGTGCCCCCAGGTTCCTGGTTTTCTGCAGCTGCTTCCATCATCATGCCCACCTCCCCTGCCTCTGCTCCTACTTTCCACCTCGTGAGAGCGCCTTTCATACCCTGACCTCAATGATACCTCTTTCTAGACCTTGCGGTGAGAGATGGGAATTAAAGCCCTCCCATGTGGCTTCTGCTGGGCCTTAGGGTGAGCCTCTCTCCAGGGAGGAAGAGAGAAAGGTGGGATGAGACTTAGGCATTTATAAGTCTTAAGGAGATCATAGATCTTAAGGAGGTCTCAGAGCCTTAGAATGCAGGAATGGTGAATCCAGGGTGCTCTTGGAGAGCTGGGATAAAGTTGGGCTCAGCTTAGGCATCCGGAGCTGCTCATAGGGGGAAGCAAATCCCACTCTTCACCCTGACCTTGGATGATTCAAGGGCCCAGGCTCCTTAGGGCCATATGTGACCGAGAAGAATAAGCCCGAGGGAGAATTTGTAGGATAATGAATTCATGGGACAGAATTTTTTGGGTAAACGAGTGTTTGAGCTTAGAGATTCCAATTCTATGGGAGAGGATTTTGTGTGGTGGGAGGCTGATAGGTGAGAAAACTTTTGAATGTTCTAATAGCTACTGTGAAGAGGTATCTCTTTTGAAATGTCCACATTTTGTTGGATTTCTGTTACCACCTGTTTTAAAGCTGAATCTATACTGAAAATATTTTTTATTAATCTGGTATGTTTTAATCATAAGTGTTTGATTTGAAATAAGATATACCCAGTTGCAGAAATAGAAAATGAATTTACTTGATTTCAGGTTAAAACAAATACATATTGCCATCTTCTGTAAATAATCATTTTTAAGCCTTAGAAGTTATTCTCTTACAGGACATAATGGTCATATGGAGCCAGATCTGTGTCTGGGAGATAGTAACTGCACAACATGTAGCATCTATTATGATTTCTTTTCACTGTCAAACTTAGCTTTGGAAGATGAACCAGTTCTTGAAGTCCAGCTCTCATTCCAGGGCTTTCCTTTCTGTCCCACTGACCTTGTCCATTCTGAGTTCTCTGACAGATGTTAGGTCTTTGGAGCTGTGGTTTCTCCTGCCCCTGGGATTCTCTGTTGTTTCTGCTGAGCCAGCCAGAGATCACTTACATATGTGTGCAAGTCCCTGAACACACAAGAGCATTCTCAGCACAGGATGTACAACACCCATGTCAGTTACGCAGTCAGCAGTGGGAGCAACAACAGTGGTGCATTGAACTGGCTCAGAAGCTCTACTCACAAGTTCACTTTAGTTCCCTTTCCCCACTACAAACCCATGCATTGTATTTGGGAACTGGCAAAGGCTCATTCTTGTGTCTGTTTGTGTGCTCTAACACTAGGGGCCCAGAGTTTGAGGGAGTGGTGGGCACAGAAACATCTTTGTGTTTCAGCAATTATTTTAAGCCTTCACACCTTGACAAAAAGGTTCTTGATGTACCCAGACTTCTACTAGCTCAGTGTCTGCAATGATTCATTCTTTCACTATTTACATGAACCCAGTAAATCTTAGACAATGAATTTGCTTAAAAACTGTTTACATTCTAAAGCCAAAAACCCATTACTGGTGAAAATGAACTGTTTTTAACCCTGATTATTTATCCAACTTTTTTTAATGTTTATTTATTTTGGGGAGAGAGAGAGCACAAGCGAGAGGGGTTGAGAGGAAGATAGAGAACCCGAAGCAGGCTCAGCACTATCAGCACAAAGCCCCACGAGGGGCTCCAACCCATGAACTGTGAGATAATGGCCTGAGCCAAAGTTGGACACTCAGCCGACTGAGCCACCCAGGCGCCCCTTACCCAACTTTTTTCTTTAAAAAAAAATACTTGGACAGATATTCTGTTTTCCTTTTTTAAGGCTTTATTGAGGTATAATTGACATTCAGTCAACTGAACACTTT